CAGAAATGAGGGCTCGGCTTTGCCAAGCCATGGCAAAAGGCAAGACCATTGCCCCTGGAAAACCAGCAGCACGGGGCACCCCAGTATGGGACTGGGCTGGGAAAAGGGGTGCCGGTTGCCATGGGGTGCCCCGTGGCTCTGCTGACGGCCCTGGCACCCCGCAGGATGTCCATGAGGAGCCCCGTTTCTCCCCACCTGGAGCTCGATGGAGCGGGCAGCATGGTGAACTGCACCATCAAGACGGAGGAGAAGAAGGAGGGTGGCTACGAGTCCCCGCCGGGGGCTGCCCCCAGCACCGAGCCCCATCCCAACGACCCCCCGGGGCCACCGCCGAGGGAAGGCACCGACCCCCAGGCCCTGCCACAGGTGGGTCCCATGGCTGTGACAAACACTGGTCCTGGCTGAGGTCCCGCCGGGCTGGCCGAGCGCTGCGGCCATCCCTGCTCTGGAGCTGGGCTCCGTCCCCTGGCAGAGGGGAGTGGTTGTTTCCCTGGGTGGTTATTCATTGCCCCAAGGAAACGAAGCCAAAGCTTGAGGCTCCTCCAAAACTTTCTGGCCCTTGTTGATGCTCTTGGGTCAGCCCTGAGACTGGAGTGCATCTCCTTTGGCGTGAAGCCCCCCACGGCCACCTCCAGATGTGCTCCATCCCTTCAGCCTCCCTTTTTAATTCTCCTGGGTTTTCTCTCCCCCTGACCAGCAGCCTCAGCCCCCTCCATGTTGCCTCTCAGGGAGGACAGGGCTCAGAGTAGCCGGGCAGTCTGAATAAATAGAAACCTCCAGCAAACAAGTCTTTGTGGCACGAAAAGCAGAGATGCTCTCAAGCCGGGCTGGGGGGAATGTGCCTGGCAGAGTGTGGTCCAGCAGTCAGCTGGGCAGGGCCAGCTCCGAGCATCCCACCGGCCCGGAGACCTGGAGACGTCCCCATCCGTGGGAGCGGGCGCTGAGTAACGCTGTGTGTGTCGCAGGAGTCCTGCTCGCCCGCCGGTGATGTGCTGGAGCCCAGGCGCTCTGCCTTCGAGCCAGCTGTCAGCGGCCAGGAGAAGCTGGACTTGAACAAGAACTTGAAGGAGGGTAAGAAAGGTTTCCGAGTGGCCTCTTGGGTGGCTCGCCCCGCTCCCTTTGGGCCCCTCGGTATTGTTCCAAAGCTGTGGGATGGGACGAGCCACCCCGTGCCATGGTGCAGAGCCTCGGGCTGTGCTCACCTGGCTGTCCTCTCCCTCTCCCTGCTCTGCCGACCCCGGTCCCTGCCGGCACGGACAGTGATGCCAGCCATCGAGAAGTTACTGTCCAGCGACTGGAAGGAACGGCTCCTGGGCCAAAAAACCGCCGAGTCCAAAGAAGTGAAAGGTGAGGTCTTGCCCCCCCTGGCCACCCACCTCCATTGTCCTCCCTCCCGTGCCCTGTGCCCGGGCAGCCTGGGCTGGAAACATGGCGTTTCCCACCTTCGCAGGAGGGGAGATGTGCCTGCGAGTGTGTGTATTTAGCAGGGATTTGTACTTTTTAAACCAAAGCATTAATTTGATTTTTTGGGGGGTGAGCATCCCTAATGAAAGCTTGCCTCTGACTGCACAGAGGGGATGGTTCAGCACATGGGGATCTTTGTGGCCCCCGCACATCGGCCATTCCCTGGCCATGCATCGCCCACCAGCACCCGGTGGTGATGGTGATGCTGGTCACCCTCTTCAAGACCCTGACCTGCAGCCGCTTGGTTTCTTCCAGGAACCCAGGAGAGCCTGGCAGAGAAGGAGCTCCAGTTACTTGTCATGATCAACCAGCTGTCCACGCTGCGGGACCAGCTCCTGACAGCCCACTCGGAGCAGAAGAACATGGCCACGATGCTCTTCGAGAAGCAGCAGCAGCAGATGGAGCTGGCACGGCAGCAGCAAGAGCAGGTGGGCTCGGGTCCCTGTGGGCAGTCTACGCAGGGGAGGCGTTTGCCAGGGACCATCCATCCCTTCGGCGATCCCTGTGGGATCTGCTGCCCGTGGGTGCAGGACCAGGACGGGGTCCCCCTGGGAGTGATGGGGCAGTGGCTTTGGCATCAGGGGCAGCAGGACTTTGAGTCTGCCCAGAAATCCTCCCGTATTCTGTGCCCATCCCAAAGACTCCCCTGTCTTGCTCCCTGGTGCCAGGAGGATGAGGGTCAAAGAAGGTGGGACTTGCACTCCTTAAAATAATTAAACCACACTGGGTCCTTCCTGACTGTGCTCCCTTTGCTCTTTGGACACCTATTTTTCCCTCTCCAGTGGCACATACGATGCTAAGGGCAGGGGTGACGTTCCCGGCACGCCCCAGGGTGGGGGTGACACCACCCCTCCCAGCCCGTTTCTCTCCCCGTGCCCTGGGAGGTGGCTCAGGGGCAGCTCAGCCACCCCCTGCCTGCCCTCCCCACGGCCCTCGGGACCCTCAGCACGCCCCTTATCTCCTTTTTGACGGTGTTGGGCAGCTCATGCTGGGCCATAGCCCTGCCAGGGCCAGCTCGGCACTGCCATTGATGCCGCTGAGCCCCACTATCTCCCTTCTGCCAGATCGCCAAGCAGCAGCAGCAGCTCATCCAGCAGCAGCACAAAATCAACCTGCTGCAGCAACAGATCCAGGTAAAGGCAGGGGACACCTCCCCGTGTCCCCCTTCCCGTGCTGGGCGATTGCAGCCCCATCGCGTGCCGGGCTTGTGTCCCCTCCCGGGGCCAGGCACAGGGATGGCATCTGCCTGCAGTGTCCCACGGGGGTTACCTGGTCTCTCTGCTTCTCTCCCCCTCTTCCCTCCAGCAGGTCAACATGCCCTATGTCATGATTCCCGCCTTCACCTCCAGCCACCAACCTCTCCCCGTCACTCCTGACTCCCAGTTAGCGCTGCCGATCCAGCCCATTCCCTGCAAACCAGGTGAGCGGGGGTCCCCTGGGACTGCCCCAGCCCTGCAGGGTGGCCTTGTCCCCTAACCCCTCTCCCTCTGCTCCCCGCAGTCGATTACCCGGTGCAGCTGCTGCATAGCCCCCCTCCTCCCACGCTGAAGAGACCCACCGGCTCGGGCCACCTCCAGATGCAGGTATGGCCCCAAAGCACCTCCATCCCCCGGGCTGGGGTGCTGCGGGGGCTGCGCTTCACCCCCGCTCCTCCCCTCTGCCACAGGAGACCTCACAGCCGCTGAACCTGACAGCCAAACCCAAAGGTTCCGACCTCCCCAGTGCCTCCAGCTCACCCAGTTTGAAGATGAGCGGTTGCCAGTCCCTCACGCCGAGCCACGGGGCCACCAGGGACCTGCAGACCAGCCCGTCCAACCTGCCTCTGGGTGGGTTCCCAAGTGCCTTCACTGATGATGGTCCCGTGCCCTCCGCTGGCCACCTCCCGGAGACAGGGGACATCTCTGCTCCCTTGGGTCCCTCCTCCCTGGGGTGGCCTGGGTGGGCACCTGCTGCTCTGTGCCACCCCCTTGGGGCACACAGTTGTGATTGTTGGGGTGGGACGGGGTGCTGCGGGGTATCGGAGGAGTGGGCGCTGGCACTGATGGGTGCCCGTGCTGGTGTCCTGCCAGGGTTCCTGGGCGAAGGCGATGCCATCACCAAAGCCATCCAGGATGCGCGGCAGCTGCTGCATGGCCACAGCGGAGCCATGGAGGGATCGCTGAGCAACGCGTACCGCAAGGTGAGGGATGCCCGCCAGGTGGTCACCATCCCCCTCTCCGACCCCACCGTTGGCAGCCAAAGCCAGGTCTCCATTCGCGGGCAGGCTCCCTGGCTTGGAGCTGGTTCCCAACTCTCTGCTTTCCTGCAGGACCACGTTGGGATTGATTCTTCCCCAGTGAAGGAGCGGATGGAAGAGACCTCTGCCCACCGGCTGGACGAGGCTCTGTTGACCTGTGAGATGGACGGTAAGGATGCCCGAGAGCACCGCGGTGTGACCCCCGGCTTGCTCCTTCCTCTGGCTCCTGACCTCGGCCAGGGTTTCCCTCGCAGGCTCACGGCACTTCCCCGAGTCCAGGAACAACAACCACATCAAGCGGCCCATGAATGCCTTCATGGTGTGGGCGAAGGACGAGAGGAGGAAGATTTTGCAGGCCTTCCCAGACATGCACAACTCCAGCATCAGCAAGATCCTGGGTGAGTGCCAGGGATGGTGGCAGGGGGCTGGGGCAGGACCCTCCCTGTGCATCCCCATGTTCGAC